AATAATCCGCAGTAACACCAGTAAGCTGCTGCCAAAGCAGGTGCGTCTCATATTAGTCCAGAATTAAGTTTTCATCAAACCCTGATTTTCTTTAAAATCCTATTTATTGCTTAACAATCACTTGAAAGTCTATGGGTGGGAAATAACACAAAAGCATCTTTCATTATTCATTAAGGACAAGTGATGCAGGGCTTTTGGAAGGGAATAGAAAGTACATATACTTTTGTGCATTTAAAGCAATTATTTCTTATTAATAACCCTGAAGAAAGGTGCCCCACAGAGACCTGCAGTGTGGATGTTTTGAAGTCTCTGGATCACAAAAAGAATCATTTTCCCCTGTGACATTTCTGAGTAGAAATCCTGGGAAAGTTTTTCTTTCATAATTATATTTTTTAGAGAGGTTTAGACTGTTAGGTTTGGGAGTGTCCCCTTCAATGGAATGAAAAAGTAATGTGGTGGTAATGATGGAGGTTGAGAGCTGTCATCAGCATAAAGGGCTGCAGGTACACAGCAAACCTGCAGCAGGTTTGGGAAGAGAATTGAAAAGCCACAAAATCCCACTGTGGAGTCTTTCCCTCTATAACGGGATGTCTTGCTCTTTGTAACTGGCCTCCAGGTAGAGTACAACCCACCCCTAACCTGCCTGGAGCCACCCATCTAGACTGGGATGTCCCAACTTGGATGCCAGGAGCCCATGCCAAAATCCTTGCCAGCCCCAAGGTAAATGGGGTGGTGTGGGATCCTGTGTAAGGGACCACTAGATGATGCTTATCACCCACCTCTGTCACTAGGACAAGGCTCCTTGTCCACCTCATTCCAGGAAAGGCTAGATGGGGGAAACTCTGGTCCTCTGATCTGGGGGCCTGTTGTTCCACGTACATTGGTCTGTCTGCCCTGAAATCACATGCTGGTCCTAAGGCTGAAGGACCAACACAGAGCAGTTTTGCTGTGGTCCCACTGGTGAGGAAGGTTCCAGGGCACAGCAGAGCTCCTCTTTGTCTGTGCCTTGTGATAGGATCAGTCCCTCCAGGCCCTAGAAGGTGTCCTTGAGACTGCAGACCATGAAATTCAGTCAGGCTCTAGAAGCCAACATGGGGCTGTGCACAGCTGCCTGCAGAGTCCCCCCATTACCAACACCATTGCTAGATAAGGAGGTGCTTGGACCCCATGAGCTGTATGCTGGAGGAGCTGGTCCTGGGGTCTCATTGCCAGCAGCCTCTGTCCATGCCTTGGTTTTCCACATCTCCTCCTTGGCGTGTCCTCTCCCTGCTACCCTGCTTGGAAAAATGGGGCAGACCAGACTGGAGGCGATGTCCTTGGGAACCTGGGGCCATTTAGGACCTGGGTGCCAGCCTGGCAGGAAGGAGAGAGCATGGGGACCTGCCGCCCTGGGAGAGAGGGGCTGAAAGCCAAGCACACTGCTTGGGAGCTCCTGGACCAAATCCAAGGGATTTCTGCATGCTGAGACCTCCTGAGAAAACAAGTCCTCCTGTGAGACCCCTCTCTGACCCCTGATTTGATACTGGGACCCTGTAAAAGAAGTAACAGGTCATTTTAATCAGCATGTTTGTCCAGGACACTAAGCATGTGGCTATGGTCCCTCAGACATTTAACCCTGTCACTCCACTCTCCCCATTGCCCTGATTTCAACCTTCTACATTTGATTTTTGTGCTAGGAGATAGAGAAATGTCAGTGGGTTTGATTTCCTTTTTTTTTCCCCTCCATTTTTAATGAATTTTTCATTTTGTTCCACTGGTACAGGAGGAATAACAATGAAGCAACAGTGTCAACATCGAAAGAATTTTCTCTAAAGTCACACCGTGGCCAATCTGCAGCAACAAGAATAGATTTTATGAATCCCATGAAAGAGAATTGTTGGTGGAGGGGGTGGAGGTGCATCTCGAAGGCTCCTAACTCTCTTTTCCACACCATGAGGACCTGTTATAAGGAGCTGTTTAAAACACAAGAAACAGGATCATTCTGGAAAAATGGATTTCTAATAGCAGTGGAACAAAAAACATATAAGTGCTTTATGATGGTTGAAGAAAATAAGTTGCCTGAGAAAGCAGCTTTCTCCTCCTTGCTCTGGCAGTTGGGCAGGATGCTGCCAGGGGCTGGACACCACAGCAGGGCTGAACAGGCTTTGGTTTTTGTCTGCACTTGCAGCCCTACTGGCCTCAGGCTCTGCAGCAGCTGCCCCAGTAATAGGGATGCTTCCAAGGGCAGGCGAAGTTCTCCTTTTATGTTTGTTGTTTCTTCCAAGAGGTGTTAACACCAATTTGTGAGCTCAGTGGGATGACAGTGAGGGGTGAGCAGCGCTGACCTTGGAACTTCCCTCTGTCAGATCTCTTTCTTCCACCCCATCTCAAAGTTGGTCTAAAAGCAATAAAAGGATGTTGGGGGGGGGGGGAGGGAGGGGGGCGAGCTGGGGCTTGTCAGAGTTCACCTTAGAGGAGAAACTCAGTGAACACCATCTCAAAAAGCATTTGTCTCTAACGTGGCTCTGCTGTATACATAAGCTGTTGTCTTGGGGAAGGGCTGCAGTTTCACGCCTCCTGCACACAGTGAGTGCAGGAACACCTGCACAGTGTGAAATTAATACTGGCATCATTTTTTGTTCCTGTATATATCCAAGTGCTTTTTCTTCCAGGAACTACACAGTACATGCAGCTGAGGAAGGGCTGAAAACAAAGCCTGTGCTTATTGTCATATGTTTTCTTACTGCTGTTGAAGTGAGGAAATCAAAGATATGCTCTTAAGCACTCACTGCACCTCTTCCAGGGTATGCAGCAGCTTGTAAGCTGTGAACGAGGAAGAGCACAAACAGGATTCCCTTTAAAAAGAATGAAAAACAACATGATGGGGAGGGGGAAGCAGCGAAAGAATATTAGTGCCAAGGATCATCCAAAATGAACCTCTTTGCCCTAATGTTGGAGGTTAAACAATCAAGCTGACAACACTGACAACATATTCTCCTTGAAAATATCACATTGTCTGTCAAGGTGTTATTGGTCCAGACACACTGCCCAGCTCCAGTAGTGGTAGTTTATGAGCTATCAAGCGAAGGTGACTGCTTTAAATGATTGTCCTGGGGGAAGAGAGCAGAAATGTCAGTGACACCTGTCCAGGTAGCACTTCTTCCTTCCTCCTCCCTTGGATGGTGCCTGGGCACAAGTGCCAATAAATCTGCTACCCTATGGGTATCAGCAGGGTTTCCCAAATCAACATTTCCTCTGTTTGCTTTGAGAGCCTGACAAATGATTGATTGACCGATGGCTTGGCTTTGCGAGCGAAGATTTGGGAAGGGCTTTAACCGCACTTACTACAAGCACGATGACCAAGGGCATGTGGGATATGCAAATCTGGTTGGAAAAGGGTGCTTAGGCAATCAGGGAGTGTCCGACCAGGGCTGTCATCTCCTGAGTGATCTCGAGCTACCCATACGCTGGTCCACCCACATGCAAGGTTGGATCTGCGGCTTCCCATGCACCTTGTCACCTACTGTTTAGACCCTCGCCTGTCCATACAGACAAGTGGGAGTGAGCCCTTCCAGCCTGCGCAGTGGATTTTTTAGGTGAGGGCAGCTTGCACAGAACTGGCCCCATCCTTTACACCTGAGGTTTAACTGCCACAGCCTAGCTAGCTAGGACGGTGACAGCAAAGTCCGCAGGTCGTAGGTTTTGTAAGAGTGTCCTTCTCTCTGACGGAAGACCTGACAAGGCTAGACGAGCTCCATCAGCCCAGGTTTGAAGATAGGAGTTTCCTTCTCCTATGAGGAAGGCCTGTCTTTGCTAACGAAGATTGAGGAAGGACTTTAACCCACGCATTCTGAACAACGCTGTCATCTCTTGGGTCAATCTCGAGCGACCGCTATCGCGAGCACACCGAGGCGCCGGCGGTGCTGCGGTATCACTGCGTCTAGGTGGGATTCAGCCAAGCGCACGCACCAGGGGTCTGAACCTGCTGTTCCTCTCGTACTGAGCAGGATTACTATTGCAACACCACATCATCAGTAGGGTAAAACTAACCTGTCTCACAACGGTCTAAGCGTAACGCGGGTGTCCCAAGGTGAGTTCAGGGAGGACGGAAACCTCCCGTGGGGCAGAAGGGCAAAAGCTCGCTTGATCTCGATTTTCAGTATGAATACAGACCGTGAAAGCGGGGCCTCACGATCCTTCTGGCTTTTTGGGCTTTAAGCAGGAGGGGTCAGAAAAGTTACCACAGGGATAACGGGCTTGTGGCAGCCAAGCATTCATAGCGATGTTGCTTTTTGATCCTTCACTGTCGGCTCTTCCTATCACTGTGAAGCAGAATTCACCAAGCATTGGATTGTTCACCCACTAATAGGGAACGTGAGCTGACAAATGATAGAAGCACAAGAACAACAAAGACTAAATCTTAATAGCCTCCAGATGTATTCATCACTCAAGGAGGGAGAAATCGGGCCAGAAACTACTGGTGTGAACCCAGGTGAAGCTTCTGACTTCACCAGAGCTGTCTGATTGCCATCAGTGAGAGCTGACCATACAGTTAGTTTCTCTTTCAGTGTGTGTGCGCTGACTATGGAGGAGCACTGGCCACATGTTGCTCTTGGCCTTCAGGTCCTTCTCCTGCCCTTGAATCCACCTAGGATGGCAGAAGCATGGTGATGCTCCTGGGGAAAAGGGCCAAGTGGGGGCATGGGTGCTGACCAGGCAGGAGCTAGAGAAGAAGAACATTGAGTGGCTGGATAATTCGATTCCCATCAGTGTGCTTCCCTCTGCCATTTCCATGCTGTGGGAAAGGAACACGGATGTGCTTGAAGGATGCTGGATTTTCCAGCACTTCATGTATTGCTCTCCTGTAACCATCAGTTACCTGCCCGGCCGCCCTTGTCCCAAGCCCTGGCATCTCGAAGGATTTATTTCCCAAGAAAGCTACCAAGATCCTTCTCACTTGCAGTCCCTGGTGTGCACTGGTGAATGGATCCAGCGTCGTAGGAGCTGCCCGGGGAAATGGGGGAAGAACCAAACCTTTACCTGAATAGAAACGAGAACTCTTGGGAGCAGGGGATGGGGGAGAGGAGGACTCTGGCAGCAGGGGCAGGGTGCTGAAGCCTGCGGGCAGCAATCCTGCTGAGCTGCCACTGCCTGTGCTGGTGACTTGCAAATGGATACAGCAGCAAAGAGAGGAAAACTCACAGTGGCTCAGGAAAATGTACATCAACTCCTTTGCAGCACCCAGCCCCCGCAGCCAGCATCTCCCAAACCATGCCCTATTTCTGCCCGCTCCAAGTGGGGCATCATTTTTCTGGACATATCTTGTGCTTCCTTTAGCACTTTTCTCTAAAAAAGCCAAAAAAGGGACAGCTTCTGCTCAAGTTCCCACCCTGGAGTTCCCCTTCGTAGTTGGACCATGTCTACTACTCAGTGACGTGCTGTCATTAAGTGCCCAGCTGAAACGCTCTAATTAAAAGGGACATTAAGAGCTCACTTGTTCAAGCCAAAGAACATTAGGAGGAATTTAAATGACGAGGTTTTTAAATCTGTGACATTTGTTCTAACGAGAAAACACTTTCTAATCCTGAGCATTTCCTCATTCAAAACAGATTGCAAAGACTGCAAGTGAAAACAATATTTTTTTTTTACCTCTGGAAAAACACATCCTGTAATTACCAGGCCTAATTGCCAAATAACATTCATCTTTTTCACACAGCTTCCACATCAGCTTGGAAGCAGGCAGTGAAAAACAGCGTGTGGATGTACCCACACATGTGTGCATTTTGTGTTACGACAGGGAACAGGACTCACAGAAATTGCCATTGCATCAATCCCATCATCTGAGGTGGAAACCATTACAGAGGATGCAGAGCGCTCCTGGTCCACCTAATGAAAGGCATATTGCTGCTGCGGTGTGCTGAATGCTGAGGAGGAGCAGGGAAACAATCTGGTTTGCACTTCCAGTAATTTGCTGGAGTAGAAACTATTTTTATCTGAAAGCATTGAGGTAATGAAATGTAAAACAGCAGCAGGAAGAAAAGTGTAAAGCCTCAAACGAGAGTGACTTGGGAACCATGCAAACCATTTCAGGAGGATTTTAGACAGTTGCTAGAGAGATGAAATACAATCCCTCTCTTCATGGTCTTTCATTTCACCATGGCCATCGGAAGAGAAGGCAAGCAAGCAAACTAGTTGTGAAAACTGCTGGCTCCTTAATTTTCTATGCATTTCACAAATGAAAGTCCTGCGCAGTGCAAGGTGACATGACCTGCTCCCTCTTGTTTGTCCTTTATTTGGGAACATTAACCTCAGCATAAAACAGGCTGCTGGCTGCTACTACTACTTCTTGGGAATTCCAGTCATCCTTGATCCTTCAGAATATTATCCTTCTCCCTAGGGGAAAAAAAAAACAAACAAAAATGACTTGATTGTTCCAACAGAAATCCATAAACCAGCAGCAATGCATCAGTTCTCCCAGTCTCTTCCATGCTGGGACACTGACCTCTTGCTATGACAGCTTATCCTTCTATAAGTTGAGCAGTGGTGACCAGCCTTTCCTGGGCCATGAGCAGCATCCTGCTCTGCTCCTCTGGGCCCTCATTTTGGTGTTCTAATGTCCTGTAACCAGAGGCAATGCAAGACTGTATCACGAAGAGAACATCTTCTCTGAGCTATGGCATAGGGATTTCTGAATGAGGGCACAGTGGTCCAGTGTGTTCAGACATCAGCCTGAATCCACCTTCCCACCTCCTTCAGATTTTGCACAAGTTGGCTCCAGAACTAAAATTCACTGTTGGTCTTTTTCTTCTAATGGGGCAAACATCAAAATCTGGACACAAAGTCCCATATTCTAAGGTCTGGATCTGTTTGTGGCACGAATCTATCTTTAGTTGAATGCACAACGTTACCTTCATCAACAGCTTGGTAGCATATGACATTATCTTATTTAAGTATTCAGGTCTGGCTGGTTGCTATTATCGAGTGGATGCTAATTCCAGTGGTTCCAGAAGGACTGCATTTGCAGTGCTTCTTGTTGCCTTGCCATAAATACACAAGCATAAGTGACAATATTCCCAGAAACACCTACTTTAAAGCATGTATCCATAACTTTGTGCAAGTACCTTTGAATTCATCCTATTGAGTATCCACTTTGGAAACATGAAACACTCTACCTATTTCTCCAATTAAAACAACTTCAGCTTTAAAGCTTGGGTACTCATAGCCACCTTTTTGAATGAGTAACCCTGTGTTGGCATAAGTAGATATAAATCAATAAAGATCAAGGCACCAACACTCGTTTATGCTTACTTACAGCCCAACTTAGATCTTCCTCAGTAAATCATCTCAAATACAGTGGAAAAACTCAGAACTGTTCTGAAATATCTGCAAATAAAGAGACAGAAAATGTATCTCTTGTTTCAGTGGGAATTAAATCACTGGAAATATGTGGCTCCTTAGCTTCTGGATGCAGAATCTGTAAATATAAAGTAACAGCAGTCAGTTGCCAGCTTTGAAAATGGGTCTCTTAATCATGACCAACCCCTCTGAGATCACATCTGTACCCCCAGGCAGCTCTTCTGTATTCTAATCTTTCCTTCTCCTCCTCTTCTTTTGACTCTTTGTCACCATGGGTGACGCACCATGAATGAAAGATTAGGGTGTACCAAACACAGCTTTTGCTTCTGGGGTCAATGCTCTAACTCCTGAGCTGTTGGATAGGAAGGCTGTGAAGCTTAAAGAGCTCAGCTTGGGTCTCCATCACGTAGGTGTACCTCCAGTCACCTCCTGGTCCAGCTTGAGAAGATAATGCTTCATCTGTGAGACCTAATGTTCTATCTAAAGCCAGGCTGGATGGGGCTTGGAGCAACCTGCTATAGTGGAAGGTGTCCCTGCCTGTGGCAGGGAGTTGGAAGCAGGTGAACTTTAAAGTCTCTTACAACCTAAGCCATTCTATAGCCTGGTGAATAGGGCCAAGGCAGTGCTATGAAGGCCCATTGAATTTTAGGCCTGTTTTCAAAAGGGTAGCAGGGTGCACCACCAGCAAATCTGTAGGAGGGTAGATTTGGTGAAGGCCAAAATGGTGACCAAAGGGAAAAACAAAGGACCTAAACTTTGAATTTCTGCCCAGCATTTCTTGTCCCAACCTGCTGCAGCCCTGCACCTGAAAGCAAGGGTGGGTTTGTGCCAGAGCAGTGCTGGGCACACAGGGCTGACCTTCCCTCCCGAGTCTGAAAGCCAGAGTCTTGGACATCCTGAAAGTAGAAGAGGCTGTAGATTGCCTTGTCCGATGTCTGGTACATGAAATGGGATCTTGCTCAGTTGTTGCCATACTGAGAGCTTGCATAAGGTTGAACGTGGTTAAACTGCTAGGGGTTCAGCAGAGCAGGAAGTGTTGATCTCCTGTATCTGGTGGTAGGACAGAAGGAAATGGAATGAAGATGCATCAGGGAAGTCCAGACTGGACATTAGGAAGAGGTTCTTCACCGAGAAGCTGGTTGGTCCTGCTGACCACTCCATCAGGAAGTGGTCATGGCACTAAGCCTGTCAGAGCTCAAGGAGTATCTGGATGATACTCTTAGCCATATGGTTTACTTCAAGGTAGTCTGCAAGGAGCAGGGAATTGGACTCTATGATCCTTATGGGTCCCTTCCACCTTGAGATATTCTCTATGAAATTTGCCTTCCTGAAAAGCACCTGAAAAACTTGCCTTGAGAAGAAGGTATTGAGAGAGGGTCTTTAGGCCACCGTTTTGGTCAGCCCTCCTGGTGGTTAGTCTCACTTTTAAACTGTGTGCCTTGTTTCCTCCAGCAACTGTTCAGCTTCTCTCTGCTACACTGAAGTGGCCTTCAACACCCACTGCTTTCTGCCTCTGAGAACACTTACTCACCACTATCAGATACCTCATGAGCCTTGACACAACTCGAACGCACCATTACAGCCCTCACTTCACAGCGCTTCTCCCATCTTTACATCCTATCAGTGGCTCTTCTTCATTCTAACAGCCTTTTCAACCCCAGGCTTGGTGCTGTATTTAGTGCTGGTGCCTTAGAGCTGTGCACAAACCTAAATGAGCCTGAACGTTCCCCCTTAACTCCCTATTGAAACACCCCATGATCACGCTGTGAGCAGGTAAGAACTGATTTTGAACTAACTGATTTCTTGCCAGTTTGAGGTCCAGTTCAACACTCATGCTGTTCTCTGGAAGCAGCCTTACAGAAACTACCAGAGCAGCTTACGGGCTGTGGTGGCACTCAAAACAAACAAGGGTGGCAGAACTAGGTCTGCTGAAAGGAAGACGCGAATGAAATTCACCTTCCAGCATTCACTGCAAGTGAAGCTGATCTGTGTTTCTTACACCAAGCAAAGGCTACAGCTCAGATGCTAATTTTATCTTGCTGGCTCTGTAGCGTCCTTGATCTCCAAGAGAATTCAAAATAACATGTAGCAAATGTATAACTAAGTCGTTTTAAAGAAGTAACTACAAAGTGCATAACAGCTCAAGGGGAAACATCTTCTCTGCTGAACGCAGAGGATGAAATCAGATCATACTGACAGACCGAGCAAATGGGTTCTACGCCTTATCCTCAAAAGTGGGCTGTTAGGGGGGACCAGGGCAGCTCAGTGTCCATCTGCCCTACAAACCCATCCCTGACGGGAGCATATAGGAAGGCCAAGCCCACCTTCACCTCCTAACAGCTTGTGACAATGCGATCCCTTCGCTGGGCAGCCACAAACATCAGGACCACTTTGTGCTAAGTGTCAGACACAGCTGTTAAAGAAACCCCTCTCTACCCTGAGTGTAAATACACAGTGCCAAGAGCTGGGGCAGGGAAGGGCTGCTCCTCTCTCTGAAGACAGACAGTCACCCCTGCAGTGGTCAGAGCAAACCCAGGAGAAGATGAGTGGGGAAGCAGACAGCCCCACCACTGCTGTGTGCTTGCCAGGCTGGGGGTATTTGCACTAGGAGGGGAAGCACAAGCCCAAGAGAGATGAGTCTGGAGTACTTCAAGCCTTGTCAATAGTTTGTCAGTGTAGCTCCAATGATCAAAGCTTGGGCCTCTCTCCCCCTGCAGAGCTCCAGCTAAGGCAGGAGTTTAGCATGAGCTTCAGGGCTTGATGCTCTGGTCCCAGCAGAAAGATCAAACCTCTGCTAAACTGTCTGTGTAGATACATCTGCTGCAATGGTCTTCAAGGGTTTCTGGAAACCTCATGGGCTGGTACAGCTGAACACAGCCAAAAAGCCAGCAGAGGCCAGCTAAGGGCTTCCTTGTCCCGAGTGCATGAAGAACTAAGGGATAGGAAGACAGCCCTCCCAGGGCAATGCCTGCCTCCAGTGATTGCTGAATTACTCCCCACGGAAAGCAAGTGCTTTCTTCAAGGCTGCTATTCCAGTATGGAGCCTGAGTATCCTCACCCAAATGTCAGGTTACAGGTGAGCTGGTGAAGAGCCTGGTTTGCCAACTGGTGGTTTCAAACCCCTATCATCCCAGGAGCAGCCATAGCTCTCCCAGGACTCAGACTGAATTATTCTCTTAATCTGTACTAGGCAGATCTCACTGTCAGGGAGGAAAAAAAGAGATTTCCCAAGGTAACAGGAGAACATTCTTGTCTTTCATTGGCACCAAACTCAAGAGAAGTCCCTCTTTTCCAGGTGACAGGAATAGGAGTGCTAGGAGCGGTGCTGCAGAGCAACTGCAGCTCCCAACAGCAAGATGCAGAAAGCACTCGGGCAGTCAGCACACCAGGTCCCACAGCAAGCATGGTGCTACCAGGACAATTTCCACACTTTTTTTCCAACTCCTACTAAGCAAAAGAGAAGAGGAATGAATAGCAGCTCTGTCTGAGGAGGAGAAAGATAAATGACTAGCATTAGCTGTGGCTAAGCACACCTTGGAGGCAGTTAAAATAGCTCTAACACACTGAATAACACCCTTGCAATTCCTCCTTGCGCTGGTAAGACAGACCTGGGATGGGAAAATGCCTTCTTTGCATTTGTGCAGCTGTGTGCACCATGGTGCTGGATCAGCAGGGTGCAGGCCAAGTGAGCTGGGGTCCATCACAGCCACCACAACAGGATGGTGCGCAGGCTCCAGAGGTCTCTTCTGGAGGGAGATGAGATAAAAAACGGAGAGAACATTAAGTTCTTTTTTACTACCCTCCATCATCACCCCCACAATTATTTCTGTGCTTATTTGACCATCTCCTTTCCTTCTCAGCCAGTGCTGAGGTCTCACCACCTCATCAAATGTACCTGCCTCCTTAAGAGGGGCACATCTAAAGAGCTGGGTCCTCATGAAGACGAAGACAAGAAAGGATTTAATCTGACAGCACAGCAACCTCATCCCCCGAACCTGCAGAGCTCAGGTGCAGTCAGAGGTGCCTGCTCCACAAAT